GTCTGATCAAGCACAAACGACTTCACTTCAAACGAATTATATATACTTATTAATATAAAACAGGCCAACATGTCATTTGTTTAATCTTTTAAAAAAAATAAAAATGAACACACTGTTAATGGCGCTGCTTGACCATTTAGATCTAATTGTTTGTTTTTTCTTATCCAGAGGTTACAGCGGACGTAAACGCCGGTCAGCAAATCTCATGACACCAGTCATACTCAGTGCAGATGCCCCACCTGTACAAGATGGAGCCAATAAAAAGTCACAGGAAGATCAGGAAAACGAGAAAAAAATACTATCCCACGTGCCCCAAGCAATGGCTTGATAATGTTCATATCAGAACATTGAACACACTTCTTTAGGACCTATTTCAGGTTCAGTTATAAACTGACAGCTTGTCCATCCTCTTTGTAACAAGAATACTTCTTTGTAAAAGAAGATAAAGGTGAGGAGACCAAAAAATACCACTGGAAAAGAAAAATAAAGAAGCAATAATGCATACATTAGCATTGTGTGTGTGTACTCAAATTTTGATCCCTGCCTAAAACTATAACAGGGTTCGGCTGTAACAGGGACCGCTGTAATACATGTAGAATCCTTGACATGTATCCAGAAGAAAGCTTCACTTCAGGCCATAGATGTACACTATAGGCACTAGATACAGTACGCCCCTCTCTCGCCTCGCTGCGCGATGGCCACATTTGACAGCGGCGTCCGCCATGTTTCAGTGGGCGAGTTGTGTGAAGGAGTTCAAGCTAAAGCAATGGGCTAGGCATGTTTTCTCTCCCTCATACGCGATAGGCGATCGGCTTGGTCCTTGTTAACTTACTTTTTTTACATGGGCGCCGTGGCGTACTATCTAGGTTACTAAATAGCAATAATACAGCGTTCTTTTTACAACTAGATCTACAAACAAATGTATTATTAAATAGATAGAGATAGAGATGTAGGCTTTAAAATAGAACCCCCCTAAAAACCCTTTATTTCTTCATCAGCACTATATCTACGAAGTGGTTTATTTCTTATTGACTGAATAAAAGCGTAAACCTATAGGGCCTATCGAACTTATAAAAAGAAGTATGAAAAGATGTGGTATCATGGGAACCTCCCAACCACCCCACCCTTTCTCTCCTCCC